GCATGAAGCGGGCTCCGTGTACGCATAATACATGCAAAATGATGAAATCACACATCGATCAACTCATCGTCTGTCTGACGAACTCAGGTCCGTTTATAAATTGTGACAATTATGGATGCTACAAATAGGCATCCACTTCGGCCAAGTTCCTCAAGTACCTCAAATGAGCATCATGAATTATTCGACGAAAAAGTGAATTGATGAAGTTGTTGGTTCGCACGAAAGTGTCTTTATATTGCCAGTTCAAGCCCGCATTCTCAGTTGAACATATTGACAAGTTGAATTGATGTGAGGTGAGTGGTGAAGGCCACGAACCAAACGCAACTCGGTCCAGTTTGCTGAAATGGCACGATGTAGCACGTTCAGTTTGTGCGAGTTTAATGTCAACACCAAGCAGTGTGGGATCGTGAGCCACTGCCTATCTATCGTTCACAGCGTAAAACTGAAGGTTTCCAAATTTACATTCTTTTTTTAAATGAAGGCTGACGATGCCATTCCCTACCAATTGCTGAGAAGCTCATAAAGGCATCTTGCTTATGATGTTCCTATTTGAACGCAATTGTAAGGGACAAAAAACCTTTGAAGCTCAACTTAATCGATGTGTTTTTAAAGACAATGCAGAATATGTCTTACCTCTTTCGCCATCCATGTAAAAGAAAATCATTTTCGCACCACATTGAGTTAGTGAGCCATGTATCACGCACCCATGAAGTGCCCTTTCGCAGAATACTCACCCGATTCATCCACTTGTGTTGATCACCGATTTTCGATCGTATGCATGCTTCAAACACATACAGATCCTGAAAGAGAACAAGNACATGCTAACATTCAAATTTTTATTGAGCACAGTTTTTTTGCGTCAGATAGCGAGCGTCTGAATACATGTTTCAAAAACACCAAAACAATTCGAATGGAATTGATCCCATCGATATGTGATTTAAACAGCTCTAACTGGAAACGACAAATCGAGTTAAAACGCAGTGCTGAAATTCATCCATGGAATTCGATTCGCGCATTCGAATCGCGAATCGTCTCAAGAACGTTGTAGACGAAGTTATGAATTTTTCGCTTTGCAAAAAAATTCTTTTCGTTAACAATTAGTTAAATGTACTTGAATCAATTTTTCTATCTGTGCCACTTACATGATCATCTTTCGATTCCTCCCAAATTCTGAAGCATTTTTGTCGTTCTCTGTTTTCGTTCGGTGTTAAATTCTCCATAAGAACTATCTGAAATTAAAAATTCATCCATGTCAAATAAAGTTCAAAAAAATTCCTCTGATGAACTATCTTCATGCTCTATCTGAAATTCGTTCGAACAATCGTGAAACAATTATGTAGTGTTGTGCGGGGAGAGCAAAATGAGTCGGTTACGGGGAAATCGGGGACGGGAAGTGTCCCCGAAAATGGCCGCCGCTCGAAAATGGTCGAGAACGGTGACGGAGAGATCGGGGAAGGGGAGTTTCGGGGAGAAAACTCAATATTGTTCCCGTCCCCAATTCCCCGAAGCTCCCTGAAAATGTAATTTTGAAACTAGAGTCAGCAGGACCTTGGAAACATGATTTTTTGATGGAAAAGCATTGAAATAAGTGATCTTTAAGCTAGAAAAGCGGTAACTGCAAAGGCACAATGCAATTCTATTAACAGTATTCTATTCGATCACATGAGAAAATAGAGTTTATGAAAATAGCAAAATTTTTTAAAAAAATAGCATAACTAGCAAAAAATAGCACAGCAAACAGAGTTTTTAGAGTTTAACAAAAATAGCAACAAATAGAGTTTTTGAAAAAATAGCAAAATAATAGCAAAATTTCTTTGACAAAAACAAAAGAGAATACACGCTCTACTCCTGCAGTTTTCTACTACACTCACCTATGCAGACATATTACATGTCACTGTACAGCTCTCCAAATATTCCTGATCGTGGGAAGGAATTAACACACGGATTCATGAACTCAAAATATCGTTGAATTTTGTTGATCTTGGTTCTCATTAGAAAATGCGATTATCTCCATTAGTCTACATAGATATGCATCCAGATGAGCGTGATATGAACTAATGAAGGGCAGAATAATCAGTTGAATGTCCAGTGAAATGCTACGCAAAAGTTCATCAAGCTGTTGTTGATCAAGCCATTCGTCTTACTTGCATAATTTCCTAGACAACTTATCGATGATAGGTGGCAAACAACGAGGATGATTGCTTATGAATGAGCTGGGAATGATTAAGGCTTGCTTCAAGATGGACGCACTATCAAAATTAATACAAATTGACTTGCTTTATCAAATCCGGAGATCCCATGGTTTTTCAAAACTTAAATCCCGGGGTCGGCAGCAGAACTGAAATCCCGGAATCCCTTGTACACCCTAGCTGAGATAGAATGGTGGTGGGGCCTTAAAGGCAAACATGCGAGCAAAGATCGAATATTCAAGTTAGAATCGCTCGCAAGGGTGCGGAAGATTCGAATTCATTTTTTTCCGGGGGATTTCGGGGAGACACCCCGAAATTTCGAGGAGTCTAACCGACATTTCGGGGAGAGCCGGCAATTCTGGAGAAGTCGGGGACGGAGACGGAGAGCTCGGGGACGGGAAGAGTCCTCGAAAATGGCCGCCGCTCAAAAATGGTCGGAGACGGGGACGGAGATTTCGGGGACAGGAACCCCGAATTCGGGGACTCCCCGCACAACACTACAATTATGGGTTGGAAGAAACCTGCAAAGCTGCGTTGTCACTGCCATACAGGGGAATGTGCAAATTGCTATCATAAGCTGCCCATGAATGAAGGAAGTCAATTGAGTAATTCGTATTCCTGGAATATTAACACAATAACCATTTTTTCTCTGTTGAAACCACGTCAATTCAGACTATTGAAGTGAAAATTCTAAGAGTTCGTTTACCTTATAATGCACACTAATTATCAGAAACTTCAAGTTCCCAGAATTGAACTAACACTTTATACATGAAACTACAGATGCTAATTACTTCAAGAAACTGTTGACTAAATTCTATTGGATTGAAAGTTCCCCGTGAAGGATTCCGTAAAGTTCTGCAAATTTGATTTGCTCTTGTAACGCATTCCCGTGAAACTCGAATTCGACATGAAAACGTCAGATGACCTTCGTGGTCAATTAGGAGAAAATTTCAGTTATTGAAGAAATCAAACCATGACCAGCTTTATCAAGAACGGGTTCAGTTCATTCGTTTCTCGACAGAAAACATTTCGACGGTTTATTCGAACGAATGTGATGGTTCGAACTAGTAGAAAGTAGGCAAACCACGTAAAATTCCAATACTAACTTGACTAAATAACTGCCGGCAGCAATTTCATGATTGAATATTCGATCATATAGAATGATATTCACATCGTCATCAATCCACTCCTCAATCAGTCTGTTCGGGTTTATCACAGCCATGTCTGCGTCAATAAATAGGATCCATTCGGCTGCACCCTCCAGCAACCTTTGAGCCACCACACAATGACGAGCAAACATAAACTGAAATCCACTCTAGCACTATTATGGGCTCGCATTCGGGCGATTATGCTCGGTTTTTGTTAGTAGACTAACACTGTTTTGTGAATTCCATCTGACATTGCTCGTGCCTTATCAGAAAGGAATATTTCACATCCATCGAAAATACTCGCTTTGGAGTTATTCAATTGTTTATCTTAGTGTGACGCTCAAGGAATTTCCCAGGAACAAAGTAACTTCTGAGCCACCACGCGATAAATCTAGGAAATTCATCTACTGAAGATAAACATTGTTATTTAACGGAATCCCTTATCTTGAAAGCAGGCATATGCACACCCTCAGAATACTGAAAATATGAAGTCATCCATAAGTTTATGACATTTTCTAGGTTTCAATTAAAGCTTGATTCCAGCTCTCTGCAAAATTTGAGATGTTTTGAATGGAAATTTCTTATTTTACAGTAATTCGCCCAATTTCTCACATGGCTCTATTCGATTGCAGTTCCCTACTATTCACAGGAATTAAAGATTCACAAGAATAGCTAACTACGAACATCTCTGTGAGGACATATTCCCTTCAGTGTTCTATTGGCTGATAGATTCAGAACTTCCAATCGATACTTATGATAAGTGGAATAGCATCGCATCGTTTGTTGCGCCGCATCGTATTCGATCACATTCGAAACGTCTTTCACCACAATCAGTATCAGGATATCACGTACTTTAAAACGACCTACAGTTTAAGTACAATTAACTGGCAAAGTTCAGTTGAAACGACAACGCTTCTAACAATAATCATGAAATTTCATGATGTTTTACTTTGGCATCATTTTATATTCGCATACGCTACTATTTGCAATGTGTGCAAATTATTTGATAGCTATCATGTAAACTACATCACTGTACATACTGTTGATTGTTGATTCGAGTTTGTCATGGAAAGGCATTCGTGATTATCGATTGATCTTGTGCAATGAATAAACAATGCTGTGCTAGAAATCAAGCATGCTTTCAAAGGGGTTCACTGTTGATGCTCGCTCGCTTCCTAGTTTACCCTTTCAAAGCAAGAATGCATATTCGAAAACTTCGCGGTGTTTCAATAGCGATGCACCATTTCACGGTCGTTCAGCTACGTTGATTTCGTCACATTCAAGCATGAAGTTGAGTGAATAGTACTGAGATAANAAAGTGTGGCCAAATACCTCTGAATTTAGACCAATCACAGACGTAATCAATTCGGACATCTCATTCGGTTCGTTCAAAATAAGTTGAAAAATTCTGAGTGCTGATGCGTTTATTCATATCTATTGCACAGAATTTGCGGAGAATAAGCAGTTTGAATGGTGAACATTGCTTGTCAACGAGATGTTGAATTTCGAGCGCATACCTATTCTCAGTACTGTTTTGTGGCTTGGAGAATAAGGTTTTCTCTACAGAGCGGAAACCTTGATGCACACAAGGAAATGATCATAAGCACTTCTACATTATGTCAAATGATCAGTCACTCCAGTACAGCATTATTCAGTGAGCACATCACGAATCACTTCAACCAGAATCAATGCTTAAGGGAACCACTGCTCAAAGAGTTCATTTAGGCAATGCTATGTTGGTGGTTGATGAATTATATGTTAATTGACCAGGTGTTTCTTAAACGCAACTCGTTCACTTGCATTTCAACTTACCATCGAATCGTGAAACACGTATTGCGGCCGGAATTGCTTCATAATAAATATTTCGATAAGCATATCGTAGTTTTGCTATTTGTAGTTCTTCGATAAACAATACGACAAGAAACGTAGTCATCACTAACAAATAGTTCATGCATTTGCGCTCACTCGGTTTTGAACAAGAGATAGACGGCGACCTGACTGCGAGCTTACATATGAGGTCAATCTTTTGCATAGAGCCTGAAATGATTGAAATTTTGAGGTAATTGATGATCGAAGAGCACGATCTATACAGAGCAATGTGCACCCTTCAATAAGTTCTTCCACCCAACTTGTTAGTATGACAAGAACCTCGATGTGGAGACCTATGCAGAAGGAACGAGCGTGTCAAGGAACTCTAACGGACGCGAACGAATCAGCTGAACAGATATGCATGCAGACGTGGAGGCCAATGGAGCAGAAACGAACACATCGAGAACTCATAACGGAAATTGACGAATCTCGTGAACCAGATCAGATATCGAGCAAACCGCCTTTGTGGCATAACGTTAAAGCAATAAAGCTTCTCCAAATATCAACCAACCACGACAATCAAACAACGGAGTTGTGAGTATGACGGTATGGTGGAAATCAACTAATTATTGAATAATGGATATCTACGAATAATGATGAATGAAATTGGAATAAGGATTATTAATTAGATAATTGGAATATATTTAAATGTATACTATAATAATTGGATTTTAAATGGTTATAATCGAATTGGATCAATATCGGTTAATATGGACATTGAATATATTATTGGATCAAATGAATATTATGGAAAGTGGACAATGGGCGTTAAGAAGTTTATTAATCGATTGGTATAAATAATAGAGAGAAACAGCCGGTATGACTAAATTTTGAAGTTAAGCCTCACGAACTGTGAATGATCAATAACTGATGAAAACAATTAATACTTGGAACTGTGCATGATTGAACGTCATTTCATTGAGTACATCACGGTGCTTATCGTTAGGCAACAATGTGAATCAATCGATAGATTTTCAAAATGATGAGTGTCATTCAAATGGTAATGAAGGATGATTTTTGCCGATATTTTTTTGCGCTGGATAGTTACATTCGAACATCAAGAGATATATTACGGAAATGATGAATACAACGAGTTTTGAACATGAATACAACAACGATATTGAAAGCAACAAATCACATGTTATCAATGTTCGAATTCATTACAATTTTTTATCAATACTGAAAGCAATAAAACTCTTATCAATGTCCGAGTAGAAAGGCAGTGTGGCATGCGAAAAAAAATAGAAAGAATTTGAGGACACTTGCAGTTTCATATGTGTGCGTTTCGATAAATCATAACAACATCAGCGATTAGTAAAAGCCGCCACGTTCCGTGTACGTACAACATCGATCCTTTATTATCAACGAACATTGGAATTATTATTTGAATTCGACATTGTTCACACGCATAGAAGACGGCCATGAATTGTTCGACAACTCTTTTAAAAAATTCAGTATTGAGAGATTGGAAATGTGTGGGGATGTGATTATCGATTCTCGCTTTGCTGAATAGAGTGCGTTGACGATTCGTTGATCAGATTATCATTCTTGATGATTTCGCAGCAAATGCATTCACTGGAGAAATGCTGCAAATGATTAGCAGTTATTCCTAACCACCAGTAATATGCGCTATATTCGAGATTTGTGCCTTTAGCGAAACACCAACAGATTCGAGACGAAGTGCCTTTAGCGGAAATGTGCAACCATCATACACGGTCAAGCACATTGCACAAGTGCAAATAATTGTATCTTAACAAATACACTAACNACCAAATCAGTTGTACAATATTGCGGAATTCAGTATTACGAACGAATTTCAAAATTGTTTGATCGAAATGCGAATCTCAGAATTTCGACCAAAATTCGTCGGATTTTACCGGCTGAACTTCGGTCGGTTACCGTCACTAGTTTCTGCGCATGTTTAAGTCAATATGTGTTGAATCAGTCTTGTGTGCTGAACTGAAAATATCGGCATTCACCGATTACGACGTTTGGAAAGTGCTGCCTCTTAAAGACATTGGTGTGAAGTTACAAACACCTGAACACGAATACTTCTCGCCACTGTTTTGTTTGGTCTAGCATTGGCAAATTCTCATAATGCACTTAAGTGAAACTGAGAATTAAGAGAATGCTCATGCAGGAAGCAATAAGACGTTGCTGAAATCTATAATATTCAAAGTTCAAACAGCGTTCTGCTGAATAGAATAGAAAGGAACATCAGCTTCAATAATTATGAAAAGATAATTGAACATATATCCAACTAGACGAATTAGTTGAGTGAAGTATTAGAGCATGTTTAAGTCGGCAGTGACAACAACCCATTTGAAATAATGGCGATACGAATCGAATCGCGTTTATGGTCGTTGCCACGACAATGAGTTAGTTAAGCTGCTGTTAATACAAATATTCAATGTATTTTAGCCGCTCCGCAGTCGACATAATCAGCTCAAGGAATCTATTGATATCGGTATGAACAACAATAAATGCGATTTAAAAGCGAGCATGAAAATCATTGAAGGGCATTCATGATTTTCAATACGTTTTTAAAGACTTGATAAAGACCGTAACGGGTGAATCTGTCTAAAGACATTTAGTCTAGCGACAGTCTGCCTAAAGACACATTGCCTAACGGACAGTTTGCCAAACGGATAGTTTGGGAAACAGACAGTTTGCCTAACTTACGGTTTTTTAATGGATATTTCGCCTAATACGCAAACTGTTCCTTAGTCAAACTGTCCGTTAGACAAAATGCTCGCTAGGCAAAACGTCTGTTAGGCAAACTGTCCATTAGGCAAACTGTCGTTAGGCTAAATGTCTTTAGGCAGATTGACCGGGTACCGATAGCAACATCGAACGATATTCAATCGAAGTGGACCATCATGGTTAAGAATTCAGTTACGAGTACAGTGTTGGGAAAGCTGATTTTGTTGATATTTCGAGCTGTGATGACGACCGGAACGTCTTGGTGGCAAGTCTTGTCAGAAAGCGACAGTTCGCTCAAAAAATTTAGAGCGGAATAATCAAAAATGAGGAAATCGTTTCGACGAACAACGTATGCGATAGAAAACAAAACTGTCTTATCCTGTACGGAACGTTTCTCGTGTGCACAGTTTTTGTATGACATGTTTCGATGAGAATAAACTAATCACAAACGGAAAAGTGATACATTTGAGAGAACTGACACAGAGATCAAGTCTTGAACGTAGAAGTCGAATGATTGCAAGCACTCAAAAAACAGCACTTCACGTGCGAATACGGAAAACTATCGTACTGATTTTTCTCACACGCAACTCCCAACGTCAAACATCGCCTCAACAATAACTTTCAAAATTCTACTAATCGTCAGTCACTCGTGCAGGAGGCGCGTCACCGCCCGAAACTCACTGATCGAACGTCTCTTCCGCCTTGCAGATGATCCTAAATACCTCAACCCCGGGCTCCATATATGTGATTTTTAGTTTGATTTTTCGGTCTTTTACATTCAAGAATGAATACATGATGACAACTGATGGAACAGTTTGTTTGTGTTGAATGCTAAAAAATACAGAAATCATCAATGGATGCGTTTTGATAGTGGAGTAAATTATTTTTTAATTTTATGAATTGTGTGATCACATTTAACATTTTGTTTCAGTTCTCGGTAAAAAGCCCTCAATATCATATTAACAATATTTCGTATTCGTGAAACTCATTGAGCTTGATGATATGAATTATTCGTGTAGCGAATTCTGAGTTTTTTCAACATGCTGATGTGTTGTTCAAGGTCAGATAATAGTAAACATCTTGTTGTGATCCCCTGACCTGGATTCACTAGGAGAACGCCGACGAATGAGGAAGGTGAACATAGATAGCGAGGAACGCTATTAATATTTATGTGGAATATAACGAATGATCAGAGAACGACATACGAAGAAGACGTTAAAGACCAGATTTTGCGCCTAATCCAGTTCTTCAAAGATTTTATTCTTCAACGGCTCATTTCAGCTGAACATCTGTCTGCTGTTACTTGAATCAATTCATTGAAATGATGAACAATTCCAAATATGTGGTTCAAATTTGTCTGTTGATTACCTGCACAACCGGTTTCCGATATATTATTTAAGCTTATCTGCTGAAATTTTTTTCTAATTGTGGTGAACGCAAACCGCAGCGGTGAATAGGCGTTGAGATCACAGTGCTTCATTCAGTTACTGATTGGAATTAAATTTGCTCGTTTCTAAAGAATGCTGACTACGAAATTCCCAATTGTTGACGGAACGAAGGCTCAGGAACTAAGCACATTTGCCTGCTGAGGTTTTTGCTCCTTTACAGCGTGTTATCGTTGGGCATGAAGAACTGCATTCTACCTCGTGACGGCTTTCATGATGTGCGTTTCAGGCAAAACTTACCTTATACGATCGGTCAGAAATAAAATTGCTAAGTGGTTAAATTGTCTGCCGATTATCTGACTGAGTTGACTAAATTGCTAAAGTGATAATGATGCATGCAATTGAAAAAATGACAGAAACACATGCTGTTCATTGTCACGCAAGATGACGATGAGCAGTGTATGCTCGACAGCATCACGGATGAAATCAAAAAACTTCTGAGAAATTGATTTCGAAATATGCTTATGCATTTTTGCATTTCGAAATCATTTTAACCTGCTCAATCAGTCGCCTAATTCACGAACTGGTAGTAGTTTTACGAGAAGTCGATAAAAGCTGACAAAATTTTCAGTCGACTCAGTCATGTGATGAGTTCTGCATAATCCTGAAACTTATAGAACCGGGACGTTCTGAGAGACGATAAAGGGATTCATATCGGCTCAGTCGTGGAGATATTAGCGATAAGATGGTCCAATTTCAT